TTTGGAAATCATCGATTATCTTCTTAAAGTTTTATGAAATGCTTTGGAAATCATCGATTATCTTCTTGAAGTTTTATGAAATGCTTTCCCTCCACTATTGGCAACTTAGAAAAAGTATAACTGTTTTAACTAGAGTCCAGCCTGTCTTTACCAAATATTAATCATGCCTCCTCTTCTGCTCTTTTTGGAATACGGTACAAAGAAATCAGATACTTTTATCCTATTGGTGTTCTTTTCCATTATCCAGCTAACACTACATTCTATTTACAATATTCTGGAGACTAACTAACACGACACTCTACTTACAATATGTTAGGAGATAACTAACACTACATTATAATCCATTATTTTACAAGTGCGATATTTTTCATGTTTAATTTTATTATGTTTTATTGGCAAAACAATAAAAACTAATGAAGTAAGAGAAATAAAATAAAAGCCAAATGATTTGAACGACCCATTTGAAAGCAGTTTTTGGTTATTTTTCCAAGGTTATATTAATAGTAGCATTGGAATTAGACGGCCCTGCAGCTCAGTCAGAAACACATTAGATGGACTGACTTAGAAAAACAAACCAAAAACATCTCAACTTGTTAAAACAAAAACATCTTGACATCTAATATATCTCGAATCTTACCAGTAATTGAATAATATTAATACAATGCTCCCTTTAAGTATAATATTGATAAAGGCTAAAAATGTTCTTATAAACTAAAACTTTCAGTTTCTAAAATCACCAGATACATCCTAATTCAACATCTATGTGCAAACACCTGTTTTTTAAAGAAAACACCATATCATAGTCGAATAATACAAATCTGCAAATGCTATTCCATGATTATGCAGTATGAACTACAATACATAACATAGGATATTACGGTTAAGTAACCCCAATACAGTTACGTCATTACTTACAGAATACAGTACCCGCTGCATTACACGCAAGTAACGTGTTGGTGAGGTAAACATTGTAACGTGAAGTAAGATGGTATGAAGAAAGAAATAAAGTAATTTTAGGAAATTATTTAATGAAATGTAACGAACCTGTTTCACCTCTTATAGGTACTTCTTTTCCTTTTCATTCTTCGGGAATTTGTAAAATGACATTCGATTTTTTTTCTGGATTACTAATGACACTACCACGAACACGACGAAAAACCTTAATTGCTTTTACAGCAGAAGAAAATACTTTACAAAATGTCAACTTCTATGATAGTACGACAAAAGAGGCTCTATTAATATAAATTACGTTTGGATGCACGTTGATTTAATAGCATGATTTATACTCAGTTGGAAGTTTTTATTTATTAAACTCATTTAACCTTTAGTTTCAGACATTAGCACTGTTTTAAACCCAACTTTAATAAAGAATAATAGAACCTGAATAGAAGAAACATTACTATTTTAAATACTTCTTATGACAAAATACAGAACAAAGTATTTTGTACAGCTTCAATAATCCAGAAATAATGACCTACAATTGATGTAACATCTTATCTGCAGTTGTATGTAGTACTAATAATTTATATGTAATGAGAGTGGTTTGTTACTCTAAGCATAGTTTCTCATTTTATCCAAAGAATTAAAATGCATAAAGAAGAGCAAAGTCATACCATAGTAAAAACATAAGCCCTAATTAAGACGAAGGTCAACAACACGCTACCTTTTTTGGCAGTACTACACTTTATTTTGATAAAGTCTTCTATATTTTCCGCCATTTCTACTTGCACCATCGGTAAGTTTAAAATAACACTCAGTTTTTTTCCCGTTATTTATGTCAGAATTATCTTCTGTGCATAAGTTAAGGATACTAAGGTATTATGAATGTTTTTAAACTACGTAAACGAATAAAGAATGTTATTTCAGTAAGAAAAATATTATGAGCTATTATTTATAGATAGCATAGGTTCTATATAAACTTAAGACTTATACAACAATTACTAAATTTTTCCGAATTTATATGCAACAATTACACGAGGGATAAACTGAACAAGTACAACGTGATTAGCACTATTAAGGTGATCTTAATGAATATCTTGAAATTTCGCCTTTTATTATTTCTTGTTGTCTTTCGAGATCTGTTTAGCAAAGGAATCCATGTGTTGCGATTACAGTTTGTAAAGTATTTAGCATGATTTTTACCGAAACCGTTACCACAGCCTGTAAATATAAGGTCTTTTCATACTAATGGAGGAACTGCAGCTTATTTCGTTGCTCCTGGTTACACACTACGTTAATATTAATCAATACACAAAACCTCGAAACACCAACACGCAAATGTAGAATTTTAATAATAAAATCGAACCATTCGATCGTATAAATCATTACATATAAATTTAAAATATTATAGCTACTGGTAAAAGTATTTTCAGTTAATATAAACACAGAACTGTCTTTGGTATTTTATCGTCCTAGGTAAGGTTTTAACCCTGTACGATTATCACCTATGAACATATAACATTACGTGAACATAATCTATAGTAAATATTTACTTCAACAGATTTATCTTAGTCTTACGTAGAAAATGTATAACTTTTCTTGTCTTTCTTTAGCTGCTAAGGCGTCAAGTGCTTCTTTAATTGATTACCTTACAGTGACTGTGTCTAAGAACATAATTTCCAGGCTTAAAACCTCATTTAAAACAATTCTTTTATTGATAATTCATCTTAATGTTTTATAGATCAACCTATAAATCCAAAACATGATTAGTTGCTAAAAACATCAAAACTCTAAATAATTTTAAAACAAAACAATGAAACTGATTGTTATATTTAATATTTTATTTGGTGGTGGACGTTTGGGGGGGGGAGGTAGTTTCTTTGACATGGTAACGTTTTAGCACCCCGTTTTTGCTCCTAACATTACCATCAGGTGAACAACATAACACATTGGCAGAAGGTGTGTCAATCCTTTAAAAACTTTGCCAAAAATAAGATTGTTCATTCACCACTAATATTTGTGTTACAGCTTTCCACATTCAAAAGTTGCATGCTCACGTTTTCATTTACACAGTAATAAAAACGTTGTTTTAGGATTAGATAAATTATATTTGTAAAGAACACACACTTGAAATATGTATAGATATATATCAAACAGTTTTGGTGATTGGTACTTCATAACGAATATTACTATAATTTGCACTTGATTTTAAGTGATTACGCATGTTTAATAAAGATATCACACATAGTTGAAAAATTTTCAAATATCACTCGAGCACATATAACATAGCAAAAGTGCACAGAAATTCGTGTTCTCTATTTCTGAATATCTTACATTATATTGTGTTTGATCTTAAGTTATACCCGTATAGTGAGTTTTCATCAGGAAGATGATACTCTTCTCTGATTAGTTTGATGATCAGATCAGTCAGTCCAAGTGAAAATACATTATATCTTATTCCAGACCACCGATGTCATAATTCTTGATCGATAACCACTTTATTTCATTTCAAAAACTGTTTCGGTTTATTATATCAGAAAATATCACCTAAAAATGTGCTCAAATAAAGACTGAAATTATCATAAACAAAACTGTAGCGTTGTTAACAAAAATCCACACAACAGTTCAATGAGATGAATTTAAAACAAATGATTCTGATCTACAATAAAAACTCTAACAATCTGTATCTTCGACATCTTGGTTGTGTACGTGAGGTTTCCCTCACTTTAATACACATTGTACAAACTCACCGCTTGAAAAATGTCACATGCTAATAATGCAACAGGAATATAACATAAGAATATGTCTTAGCGGAAACAATAAATACGTACTTACAGTTTTCTGTGTGAGTTTCATGGAAACCGTAGTGACGGCTGCCCTAGAAACAAGCTCTCTTACAGATTCACGGAAACCGTAGAGACGGCTGCCCTAGAAACTAAGCTTTCTTACAGATTCCTCCTCTAAAGACTATAACGGCGACACTCCCTCGTGAAGCTTAAGTTGATCTGGCAGAACACATGCCGCGTTCCCTCGGTTCGTCTTCCAGCCAATAGAGAGAGCTGTTACAAAATGTGTTTCTAACAAATAAACGTCTCGTTACCATATGCAACGATCACGTTCTTGCAGTTGTACTGGCACAAGTCTCTGTATTGTCTCCAACCTTCACCATTGTATTAGAACCAACACGAATAACATAATGCACACGAAACTTGGCCATCTGTGGCGCCATAGTAACATTTAGTCACATTTTATCAGTACCACTTTCACTATCTTAACTGGTACAGAACCGTAGAACACCATACATACGAAATTTGGCCATCTGTAGCCTTGTCAGCATAACAACGTAAGTTAGCACTACCTCTGCGAATTCTGCTGCTATTAATGTAAACAAAAAGTATACATGTTTGATAGAGTTTCAACTATGAATAAGTATAAACAAAAAAGATTTTGGAGTTTAACCTCATTCGTGAGAGCCCCAACCCCCAGTGGCACAGCGGTATGTCTGCAGACTTACAACACTAGAATCCGGGTTTTGATACCCGTGGTGGGCAGAGCACAAATAGCCCATCGTGTAGCTTTGTGCTTAATTACAAAACAAACAAACATTAATGAGAAGTGTAGTTTAAATTTCTCAAACACTTGTTTGTATTTAAACAATTTTCGTAATTGAACTTATACATATGAAAACGAATATAAGACCTATATGTAATAGTTGTCTTTATGACTACAAACTCTCCTTAATATCATCTAGAGCAACAAACCTCCTTTTAGAATTAATAACAATCTAATAGCGCTATACCATCGAATGGATGACCTTCTGTGGCATCTAAACACTATCCAAATAACAAAACAATTTATTTTTGTTTCAGGGAGTGGCACCAAGCATAATACATAATTTCAAACGAATTCACAAGCTGTAACATAATCACGCAACATTACAAAAATACGTTGTAAAGATTTAGATTGATTTTTAAAAAGGCTTTTCTTCGAGATATTTGCTTGAACAGTGTAAAATTTCCTAATGTTTTACATGATTCTTCGTGATTTTTTGGAGCTATCCTATTCGAGTGTTTTAAATATAACATAGCAAGCAAATTTAAGATAAGTTTCTAAAATTCATTGCGAAGATTCAAGCATATATATCCAAAAGGTCTAAGTCTCTTCATACTGGACCTTCGTGGAAAATGTTAAACGTAGGAATGTTATTCGGATACAAGAAAAATCTATACTTTTGAGGTTAGAGAATGTTCTTTGCCGATTAGTCAAAAGCGTAAGCAAGAATTAAAACGGGAACTTTTTTTTCGTTTTACTGAACTAGCTAGTACTCTACGAAAAAATCAAGCACGTCAAACGTCCACTCTCTCTTAGATCGGTTTTTTTTAATTCGGTAAAAAATAATGCAAAGTCTACTGAATGAAAACGAAGACGTTTCATTTCTTTTATCACAAGTCCTACAAGCTTACCGGGCGACAGGTCTAATCTATATAAATAAAAGTAAATATATGTGTGTATCTGTTCCTTATACGTTTCCACATTTCTTGATCAATCAGCACCAAACTTGACACAGTGATACACGATGACATGAGGATGCTCATGGGGGGGTTGGACTACCCCATCTAATTCCATATCTAATTTTGAAAAAACTACCATGTTGCATATCGCTCAACATTAGAATGAACTATGTAACCACTATTATTAGCATTATTCAAAACAGTAAATATTTCTTTTCAGTATTGGCACCTTTATGTATTTTATTGCCCTTTTAATGTTTATTATCTTACGAAAAAAAATTAAAGCACAATTTCCTATCCTTTGTTACTTTAGCTAGTCACAAGCTAAACAGCTACATGGTGAAATTCCTTTCGTATGAATGACACAAACTGAAAACTACCTCACTAACACACTCGCTAACTCAGTAGTCAATCGATAAAACTGTAACCGACTCAATAATAGCTAAATAAACAAATAACTCACTGGTGTTCTTATTATTATTAGAGCATTTTCCTCAAGTCTCTAGAAAATTCGAGACGTCACGTCAAATGTAGACACTCAAAAATTTCTAAGATTCACATATTTTTATTACGTTATAAAAAACTATCTCTAGTAAAAAATATAAAATGTATAAATTAATATACTAAAAACAAATCATACAACAGTATGTTTAGCGTTCTTTCGTCAGTAACAACTATCATACAAAACTCTCATTGTTTTATTTTATATAACTGTATATTTTATAACTGTACAAAGCACTATCGTGTGCATCAAATTTCGTAAATCTGTTTATAAATGTCGTAACATAATACAACATTAAACCAACCAACTTATAAATACTTATAGAATGAGAATTTGTTTTTCAGAGGTTTCAGCTTTAGCACCTAAAAACAGACGATATTATAAGCAAGGGAGAATACATCCATATTGGTTTCTATAATGAACTTCATATGTAATACTATTAACTTTTTTGTGTCAAATAAACGATGAATCACTCATGATACAATAACAGGTTTGTTTGTAATTATGCACAAAGCTACACAAAGGGCTATTTGTGCTCTGCCCACCACGGGTATCGAAACCCGGATTCTAGCGTTGTAAGTCCGCAGCCATACCGCTGTACTACTGGGGGGCACAGGTTTGTTTTCTCAATGTTTTGCTTTAAGTCTTCATCAAAAGTATCTCTTAACTTAAGAATTACTTGGCTGTCAACAAGGCTAACCAAATTTCTTGTTTTAACAGCTTAAGGATTTTCCATCACTAATACATTCGTGTTGTCAGAAAAACACGTAGGTTCAAGAAGTCTTGATACAAGATGATAAAAACTATTTTTCATCTTGTATCAAGACTTCTTTAACCTACGTGTTTTTCTAACATCACGAATGTACCACCACATAAGGAACATGAACCCAATTCAGGTAAGTATACTCTTTTATTTCCTAACATAGGCATTTTAGGCGATTCAATGCTCCATCTCTAATACAGTTTATCTTAATTAGAGAAAAAAAAACACCATACAAAAAACGTTAAATCAAGAATGTGTCATTAGATCTCATGAAGATCAATGCTAAGAAAAACGAATATAATATGATATAAATAACAAGTAGGTGGCTAGAAAAATCAACAGTATTTCTCAGCCATCCTCCCTCTCCATCCGCTTTGTTCGATAATATCCTCAGAATACAGTATATTTCAAGAAAGACAGTGTATGGAATAAACTACAACATTCATATAATTCAGAGGGATAGACACTTAACACAGTATCGGTTTGAGACTTATTTGTGAGAAAGATATATTGAAACTTACTAAATTGTGACGTCATAGGACTGTCAGTTTCTGCGTAAATAGATGTTTTCACAATGACAAAAACTATACAGATAATGTTTTGCCAAAAACGACATATTCTTAGGCACATAATGTCCAATTTTATGCACTGCAAAACACTATTAATAACAACTCCTTATAACATAGGCTCAGAGCTCTATTAAGTATGTAAATTTATAAATTCTGTACGCTGCCGACGATTGCTAAGATCATACTTCTAGTATTATATATTTTAAAATGTATTTTCCGTTATTGAAAGTAATGTTTAATATATTAATGTATTGCTCATAAATTAAAATATGAACCACAATAATAACAATTATGAAAAAAGTGATAAAATGTGGAATTCTAAATTATCAAGTGAAGTTGTTAGCGTGTAACAGATGTAATAAGTTCAGTTTGATAGCAAAACATCGGAATTAAATTTAAATTTGAAAACGCTTTACTTCGAGATTTAAAAATAACAAATAACCTAACATGAAAGTAATTTTAGCCCCCCCCCCCTCAGAGGCACAGCGGTATATCTGCAGACTTACATCGCTAGAAGCTGGGTTTCGATACCTGTGGTGAGCAGAGCACAGATAACTCGTTGTGTAGCTTTCTGCTTAATTACAAACAAACTAATTTGAATAGATTAATATTAATCCAGTAATTAAAAAATCAAAAAATATTTTGCTAAATTATTATCAAAAGTACACTGTAAGGTTCCTAAAATGCAGTCATTTCTACAAAACCCAAATAACAATTTATTTTTTCTTTCTGCTATATCTGAAGAATTCATCAGTTTCTTTGTCATGTCATAAAAGCGAATAAGTTTGATAAACTTCTTAATTTGATCGATCCTTCATATTAATTAAAACAAGGGGATTTAAACTCATATATCTTTTTTTCTTGTTCATAACAATCCTTTGCTTATTTTCCTGTGAAGTAATATATGTTAATTAATGTTTACTGGGTATTAACATCAGCTAACGAAGATGTTCAAACACAATTAATATTGCCATGAATTAATTTTATCTAATATCGTATTGAACTACTTTTACAAATAAACTTAATCTTGGAAACTTGTTTAAAATCATGAATAATTAATTAGGATGACGTGTTGAGAAGCGGTGAAATATGTCGAGTGTATTTGAGTGTATTTGATGTATTTTACATCAGTGTAAATCAGTGTAGAATAAAATGAGTTTTAGTATTTAAACAAAACTAGGTTGTTGTTTATAAGTGTATTTATTTGCTTTTACAAATACGTGGTAAATTATTGCCCTATATCTATGCTTACAAGTACTTTACGAGTCTGGATATTCAAATGAAATTATTCTAACGAAATAATTCAGTCTAACGAAAGAGGTAAGATAAAATTAGATTTAAGTTTGTCCCTAGGTAAAATCGAACACCGAATGTTATCATTATCAGCTCTGAAGCTTTCCGCTGAGCCAAGAACTCTACAAAAACTTACCACTCGAGTTCTAGATTTTAAATAATTAAGAATCTGTGTACAAGATCTAAATACAAGTTAGTTTGTAAAAGTTTTCAGTTTGTTGTGACGAGGAAACAATTATTGCCATATTCCTCTAAACAGTTATTATAACTGTGATGATGACCACGTAACTATGCCACATAAATACTCTCGCTTTCAACCTTAACATTCAAACTT